GAATGAAGCTGTGAGGTTCACACCTGTGTTACAACTTAGAATAAGAATGTATTTATTGTAAAGACTGAATCTATACACAAAACCAATCATGTTTATAGGCCATGACTCATGATCTAACCTGTCTGTCTTCTCTAAGGTTGCAGATCGCCTCATCTCTTCCTTTGGTCAAGACATTCTGGACGCACTGTACTGGACGGCCACCGAACCCAAAGAACGAAAAAGAGACAGCATAGGAGTCATCCCTCACTTTGTCATGGCTGTGTCTTACGTCTGTATCCTTGCGTATTATTGCCTTTTCATTTTAGTTGTTCGTTGAATTCTAGTTTAAAGTCAGTGTTGATGAGGTTCATCCATCCTGGCTTCAGTTTAGTTTGTGTGGCTGGAGTAGGGGAGAGAAATGTTGGTGTGACATGATGTAGATGTATGTGCTGCAGGTTTAAATGTGTTTTAGGCTGAACCAAATTAAGTTTTAATCGAACCGAGTTGAGCGGTGAAATGGTTCCAAACAGCAGCTGTTGTTTTCCTGACTATTTTTCAGTCATTCATTCTATCCTCATCATGGTTCAAGCCTCGACGCTAAATGTCGCCTTCAACTCGCATAACAAGTCTCTGCTTACCATCATGATGTCCAACAATGTCAGTACACACACACACACACACACACACACACACACACACACACACACACACACACACACACACTTATAGTATTTTTGTAACGGATGACTGCATGTCTGTCACAGTTTGTGGAGATCAAAGGCAGTGTGTTCAAGAAATTTGAGAAGAACAACTTGTTCCAAATGTCCAACAGTGGTAAGAAGTTCAACACCATTTAAAAGAGCTATCACACTTGTATTGTTTTTTATTTTTTATTTTTTGGATTCTTAAAAAGAAGTTTTAAACAAACATTTCCTTTAATATGAACTCTAGCTTTGACACCACACTGCAGCAAGAAAGCAAAAGTCCTTGTCTTCACTTATTTGGAGGCATTTTGTTGATGTTTTTGTTTACCCTTGATAGAACAATAGAGATGGTGCAAAGAACTGAGGTCATTACATTCTCAAGTCATTCAAAAAGCAAACTCTTATTCTGTAATCAGATGGGCCGAGAAAATTATTTGTCTCAGTCAGCTGGAAACAGTTCATGTTGTATATTAACTGCAGCTGTTTATAGCCATGGAAGGAATAGCATGTTAATACCTTCAGCTACGGCCTTTTAATGAAAGGAAATTACATTTATTTTAAAACTTGTAAGAGAGTTTCAGTGACACACCTCAGCAAGTCTGAGTTGACAGGTGTGATTCCTTTTGTGTATAAAAAAACTTTCAAAACAGGAGTAAAAAAAACTCTTTAATGCATAGCAAACGAAAACAAGGAGTGAAAGGCCTCATAGGTCTCTTATGTCCTGCAGATATCAAAGAGCGATTCACCAGCTATGTTCTCCTGCTCATCGTTTGTCTCAGGAATATGGAGCAGTTCTCATGGAACCCAGGTAATCTGTTTACACTGCAGTTATCTCCTGCTGTACCACTTTAATCCTACGTAATAATAATAATAATTATAATAATTAAGGATGCACCGATATAAATTTTTGGGGCCGATACTGATATATCCGATATCACTGCTATGGCCCACACACGTGCAGGTGCTGACATTTACGCTTCTGAAATCAGCAAATTTTGTATAGGCTATAAATTATGCAGGCTGATTTTTTTTTAATGTTTCACTTTATTTCTATAAAGTGCAATTTGCAATATGTTATCACACACACCCCACACACATTTATGCTTCTGAGATGATTACCATCATGGTCACATGACTAAACAATTACACATCATCACCCCCCTCAACCTCTGAAACAGATTCATAAACTGAAACAAGATTGAAAACATATCTGTTGTTATTATGGGTCCAGTTTTACTTCTCAGACTAAATCAGACAAAACCGATATGTTAAAAATAACTAACATCGGCCGATACCGAAATTGATGCTGATGTATTGTTCATCTCCAATATTAATATTAATATTAACAATATTAATAATATTATTAATAATAATAATAATAATAATATGGAGGGAAAAAGAATAATCTTGAATTCAGCACCAGCACTGAGGTCTGCTTGCTGAAGCAAATTTCAGTGACCTATGCTGAGCAGCTCTTTTGTCTCGTGTTACTGACCCACTGTAGCACCTTGGGGACCTTTCCCAGGAAACCTCAGTCAACAGTAGAGTTAGGGATGATAGCTGTGGTTAGTGTGTGACGGCTCAGGCTGGACAAATACAAAAACTAAGCTGATGACAGAGCTGGCATGTCTGCTCAAATCTTTACACAGATGTGCAGCAGAGGTGCAGGGTTCATTTACTTAGGACAGATAGACAGAATTCATAACTTAATGCTAACTTGGTTGTGTAGGCACCAACAATCAGCTTCTACTTTTAAAATGATGACATTACTTAACACATGATTATGCAGTCTGTTGACAACATAGGCTGGTGCAGAAACAGCAGTACCTTAGGTGTGATGAGCAGAAAGTCCAACAAAAGTAACTAAGTTGTGTCATATTTTGTGCAAAGTCAACCCAGAATACGTGTAAAAACATGGAACACATTTTTTTTTGTCCTCCACTCAGACCACCTGTGGGCGTTGTTACCTGATGTTTTCATGGTCGTCGCCTCCGAAGTTGTTGTTGATGTCATTAAACATGCATTCATCACAAAGTTTAATGACATCCCTGCAGATGTAAGATCCGAAACCTCCACTCATTATTACTCGTCATGAACATTTCCAACACAGTGCATGTTGAACACTGTCTTGCAGGTGTACAGTGAATACAGGGCCAGTCTGGCCTTCGATCTTGTCAGCAGTCGACAAACAAATGTAAGGAAACCTTGAAATTTACTTCACCAGTCAGTAGAATGCACAAAGTCTATTTAACCATGTCTGCGGTTGTTCCCTTATGCTTCCGTTGTTGTGAAGGCTTACACTGACTACAGCGACTCGGTGGCCCGGAGGATGGGCTTCATTCCTCTGCCTTTGGCTGTTCTGGTAAGAAATCTTCTGTTGTAATTCAGAAACTAAATGTAGGCAGAGAATAGGGCTGGGCGATATGGCCTAAAAATAAAATCTCCAGTTTTATTCTTTTTTATTCAATTTACGATTTTTTCCCCGATTCTCTCTCCCCGTCAATTATGAAGAATAGCAATGAGTACAAATGGAAGGCACCTTAAAGCCAATTACATTTTTTTTATTTAATCACAAGCAAGACAAATGTAACCCTCATTTCTGAGATGAATAATGAATAAATGATTATCCTCTTGGAATAAAAGTGCCTCGCTCTACGTCCGTCGCAGCAAACCCAAACCAGTTCCAAACAACGGATGAAAATTCCTTCCTTAGGAACAAACTTCCCACTCTCACCGGTGGCCATGGAATAGCTTGCTGTTGCTGTTTCGTGTGCGTGCTGTGATGTTGTCGCGGTTATGTGAAACTAATGCTACAGAAGTTCCGGGGGGCCACAAAGGCACTATTACATAAAAATTTGATTTACTCTTTTTTTAATCGCCCGCAACAAAAAAAATCTAATTAATTCATTTAATCGATGTATCGCCCAGGCCTAGCAGAGAATCATACTTAGATGTATTTGTTTGCTAGTGTTACTTTAATAGTAATTTTATTTTCTTTATGTTTTTTATGGCATAAATAAGAAGTGTCCTTGCTGTTTGCAGCTTATTCGAGTGGTGATGAGTTCAGTGAAAGTGCAGGGAGCACTGTCATATACATGTGTGTTCCTGTTTTATCTTGGGTAAGCCTTTAGCCTTCTCTGTTTCGTCATTCTGTGGTTGTTTTCTGATTTTCATTTTCTTTAGTTCTTTGTTGTACACGGTGGGATGAGGTTTTTTTTTTTTACCTTTGCGACATGTTTCGACGTCACTGACAGTTAGGAAAAGACTGGTACACCCAAAAGACAAGATATCATCAGCGCAAAAATGTGGAGTCGTATACGAAATCCCATGCAAACTCTATAGTAAAACATACATAGGAGAAACTGGACGCCAACTCAACACACGAACAATAGAACATAGAAAGGAGTGTGAGAAGGAAACAAGTCGAAGACACACAAGAGCAGCGAAACAGGAAGCAGAAAGCACGATAAAAAAATCTGCCATAACAGACCACTGCACAAGAGAAAATCATGTAATGGACTGGGACAACACACGGATCATAACCACAGAACAACTAAAGTTTTAAAGATGGATCAAAGAAGCAGTTGAAATAAGGAGGTGTGGACCCAGGACCATGAACAGGGATGAAGGAGTCTACACGCTGGACCATTCATGGGACTCTGTGATCAGCGGAGAGGGCGATATCATCCTCTGCTCCTCGCGGATAAAAGGAAGTGGCGCCACCAACATCCAGTGGTTACCCTGACGAAGACGGCAGTGATGTCGAAACATGTCGGCAAAGGTAAAAACAAACCCTCATCACACTGTGTACAACGAAGAACTAAAGAAAACGAAAGCCTTTAGCCTGTCATCACTAATTATTCAGTCTGCTTTTGTTGCACATAACGCCTCACATCTAAGATGAGTGAGCTTCTAAGCCATACATTAATGAGCTCTAATGTTCTGGAAAGAACATTTTTATCTTACATATGTAACAAGTCTTTTATTTTATTTAAAAATAAAACCTCTTATTTACTGAAAGTTTTTTGTGGATTTTGAGTGGTTTTCACTCATAGTCGTATCTATTCATTTAGTATATTTCACTTGTTCTGCCTAGGTCTGAACAAAACCATTATTGTGGGTTTAATCATCTTTAGGAGACAGACTTACATTTTGAGCCTCATCATTGCGCACTACTTTGTGCAGATGCTGTTGTAAACACACAGATTCCCACACTTACATTAGCATCAACACTGCTGGTGCACTCTCCCGATGTTTACTGCTAATGGTGTTGCTGGGTCTGTTTTGCTGGATCCCACTGGGCTCGTACCTTTGAAGAATTCCACTCAATGGGAAGAACAGTGGTGTCACCTCTAGAGCAATCTCTGGCCCTGCCTTTTCTCTGATTTTAAAAATAGCTCTGGTCTGAGCATTCTGCTGTGCCTTGGCAAATATTCAGCTGACACAGTCTGATTTCCAGAGGTCCTGTCGCAGCGAGCAGTGGTCCACAGACCTAAAAGTGTCTGTCTCTAACTCATCAGTGTCACTGTCTGGATGTCGCCAGAAGGCCCACAAACAGGGAGGGAAGAGTTTTCTGGTTTAAGACATGTCCGTTTGGAGCAAATGGTACTAAGGTTGGGCAAATTAATCAAGCATTGGTGAAAGTCTGATCCAATCTTTATTATTTATTTCCTAGTAATTCTTTATGCAAATTGGCCTCACAGATCAGACTTTCACATCAAATCTGCATCTTTTTGGCAACACTTGTACATATACATATTACACATCATTAGAAAGCTATAATTCTTGTGATCCCAATGATATATATGGCACTAAAGCATACACCGTAACTGTAGACAGTTTTAAATGCTTTAGAAAAACTCAGAATGATTTCTAGCTCACCGTTCCAACTCCTATCAGTCACAAAATAGAGCCATCTATTTTAGACCTTTGACAAGACATTTTAATCAACAGTAGGTTTTATTTTAGGGTTAAATACCATTTTTTTATGTCTTTATGCAGAAAAGTTCATGTTTTCTATTTAATGCTCAACATTTAAATATTCTTCTCCTTACTTCAACCTTTTCCTGCTGTAGACTGGTAACACTTAAAGTGTTAAATAGCATCGTGCTGCTGGGGAAGTCATGTGTTTATGTCAAGAGAGCCAACATGGAGGACAAACTATTTGAGAAGCCCTCAACTTCTTCATCATCTTCTACAAAGAGCCCCAGCAAAACTGACCCAAGCAGATGTGCTAAACCTCCAGGTAAAGGGGCAATATTACAGTAATAATCTTTCTTGAACCCACTTAAATCATCTGTAACTTTTGTATCAGTTATGTTTGTGAACTTTGAGAACATCAGACTCTAAATGTGAATGCCTCTTGGTCACAGCTGCTGAATTTTATCGGCGCGTTTCTTTGGTTTGCTTTGTGAACTTGAGAAAATAGCAGCAAGTGAAAATGATGTGCAGATACCAAGCACTGGGTATTATTGGTGAATCTGAGCTTGATTCTGCATCGTTTGATACCCACCATCCCTCCAAACATTAGTTAGATAACAGCCGTTCGTTAGTGCCCAGAGAAACATGTGTAGCACTGAAATGCACGTTAAACATCAAAGTTTCTACTAATGAGTGTTTCAGGGCTGCAGCTTTGTGCATTAACCCATCATGTTTGTGCATAATACAGACTTTCAGAGTAACTGCGTTAAACTTGTAAAAAAAATTCTCAGTCTGCCTCCCACGTGTTTTTCCTGCTGGGCTTTGAACATCAGCCTTGAATCCCATGTTCGCTTTTCTGACTAAACTGATTTGGTGAGTACTTCAAGCTTCACCTGCTGCTCCACTGAATTCACTGAACAATTATGTTCATTTGCACAAAAAAAAGGTCTGCATTCACAGAGCATGGAGTTCGACCATCTGTCTGTATAGCAGGTTATTGTCCAGAGCACAGAGAGTCATGAACTGTTCAACATGAGACACTTCAAACCATATGCTGGTAAACTTTTTATCAGTGCCCAAAATCTCCAGAGACGAGAGAAGCATTACAGTCACACCACGTGACATTAATAACCAAACATGAATATTGATGGTCATGCAGTGGTTCCCAAACTGGGGTCCGGTAATTTTCTCTGTTACATGGAAGTGACTGGCTTTTTTGACACGATTGTTGTCCCGTATTTCTTTACTGCGCTTAATGCAGGCAAAGGGAGTTGAAGAACATGTTCACGTTTCTCACACTTGTGCAACTCAGAGTGGCTGATCGTATTTCAACTTGAACTAGTATTATGTTTCTCAGTGAACAAGACCTTTAAAACAAAGATCATCAAGTTGCTTGTACAAAAGAACCCAGTGTCTGTTAGTGTTGTGAATGACATGCATCTATGACCAACTTCTGACTCACTATGTGTCAAATTGACCATTTTTCTATGTGGATTATAGAAGCCAAGCCAGGAAAGAGTTTTGTAAAATTTTAGTAAAACCTTCCTGTGATTTATGAGATGTTTGCTAACGATACAGGCAACCACAACACCGTTAAACCTGACTACAGCTAGATTTGCAGTATTACTTCTGCTTTGCTCATTTGTCTGGCAGTAATTTAGAAAATAAGAATTATGTAACCGATTTTCTCTTAAACAAGACATTTGAAAATATTCCTTTGTACTGAAATTGTTACCCAATAATGAATAATTTTTAATTTTTAAAATATAAGCTGCAATTTACTTTATCACTTGTTACAAATAGCAAAACACATCAAAACAAATAAGAGACTGTTATCTCAGTTTAGTGAAACACCATCATTCTTTTGTTTAACAAAAACAAAACAACCAGTTAACACCCCCCACCCCACTATCAGACTGTACTAGCTGTGTGCTAGAGATGTAAGTCCCTACCACTGAGGCCGATTCGATTTGTGTCGCCATACTCTACCAGCAATACGATGCATTAACAATACAATTGAACCCTCTGCTGATTATTCATTAATGATTTGACAACGATTTTCAGTTCAATACAATTCATAACAAAATAGTTTTTTGACATTGTAGTTTTACTTGTTTCTAGTAAGAACTAACTCGGCCTACCTCATTTTTAACTTTTAAACTATTTTTAATTGTGATGTCAGATTTTTAACCACACATCCAGCTGAGATGTACGAATCACGTTTTCCTGTTCACACAGATTTACTGACAGCGTTCCACCTCAGAGAACTGGCTAATATAGTGATAGGTGCAGGAGTTAATCACAGTTCCTCAAATGTTCCACCCAAAGGTGAAAGTTAAGTGGTGTGCAGGGATTTTATGTAACCCTTAGTGTCAGCTCAGCTTTCTTAGAACCTTAGCTAAGGTATAGTAGAAGTAAAAATGTCCTGGTAGAAAATACACATCAGGGTGAAAAAGAATATTTTAGCTGAGTTGTATACACACACACACACACACACACACACACACACACACACACACACACACACACACATATATACAGTGAGGAACATAAGTATTTGAACACCTTCCGATTTTGCAAGTTCTCCCACTTAGGAATCATGGAGGGGTCTGAAATTGACATTGTAGGTGCATTCCCACTGTGAGAGACAGAAAAAAAAAATCAGGAAATGACATTGTATGAATTGTAAAGAATTTATTTGTTTTACATTGCTGCACATAAGTATTTGAACTTCTGAGAAAATCAGTATTAATATTTGGTACAGAAGCCTTTGTTTGCAATTACAGAGATCAAATGTTTCCTGTAGCTCTTGACCACGTCTGCACATACTGCAACAGGGATTTAGGCCCACTCCTCCGCACAGATCTTCTCTAGATCTGTCAGGCTCTGGGGCTGGTGCTGAGCAACACGGAGTTTCAGCTCCCTCCAAAGATTTTCGATTGGATTTAGGTCTGGAGACTGGCTAGGCCACTCCAGAACCTTGATATGCTTCTTACGGAGCCACTCCTTGGTTATCTTGGCTGTGTGCTTCGGGTCATTGTCATGTTGGAAGACCCAGCCACGACCCATCTTAAATGCTCTGGCTGAGGGAAGGAGGTTGTTGCTCAAAATGTCACAATACATGGCCCCATTCATCCTCTCCTTGATACAGTGCAGTCGTCCTGCCCCCTTCGCAGAAAAGCACTCCCAAAGCATGATGTTTCCACCCCCATGCTTCACAGTAGGGAATGTGTTTTTTGGATGCAACTCCTTCTTTTTCCTCTAAATACGGCGAGTGAAGTTTAGACCAAAAATTTATACTTTGGTCTCATCTGACCACATAACTTTCTCCCATGCCTCCTCTGGATCATCCAGATGGTCATTGGCAAACTGCAGACGGGCCTGGACATGTGATGACTTGAGCAGGGGAACCTTTCGTGCATTACGTGATTTGAAACCATGACGGCATAGTGTTCTACCAACAGTGACCTTTGAAACTGTGGTCCCAGCTCTCTTCAAGTCATTGACCAGCTCCTCCCTTGTACTTCTGGACTGATTCCTCACCTTTCTTATCATCAGTGATGCCCCACGAGATGATCTTGCATGGAGCCCCAGTCCAAGGGAGACTGACAGTCATCTTTAGCCTCTTCCATTTTCTGACAATTGCTCCAACAGTTGATCTATTTTCACTAGGCTGCTTGGCAATTTCCTAGTAGCCCTTTCCAATCTTGTGGAGGTCCACGATTTTGTCTCTGGTTTCTTTTGACAGCTCCTTGGTGTTGCCCATGGTAGTAGTTGGAGTCTGACTGACTGTGGGGTGAATAGGTGTCTTTAAAGAGCTCAGACAGGTGCTACTAATTAAGAGTACTAAGTGGAGTAGAGGTAGACTTCTTAAAGGCAGAGTAACAGGTCTTTGAGAGCCAGAATTCTTGCTGATTGCCAGGTGTTCAAATACTTATGTGCAGCACTGAAAAACAAGTAAATTATTTACAATTCATACGATGTGATTTCCTGATTTTTTTTTTCTGTCTCTCACAGTGGGAATGCACCTACAATGTGAATTTCAGACCCCTCCATGATTTCTAAGCGGGAGAACTTGCAAAAATCGCAAGGTGTTCAAATACTTATGTTCCTCACTGTGTACATTAATATATATATATATATACTAGTGTTCAAGGTACAGCTTTAAATGATGTGTTAGTTTAGCCTCACATGTTCTCTTGTTCCAATGTAAAAATTTTCCTGACTAACCTTTAGCTGATGTCAGTTTTCTGATGTAAACACGGAGCAGAGACAGCTATTGTGATGCTCTCAGCTTAAAAGGCTGAATCATTTATAAACCTCAGAATTCTGCTGTTTAAACATTCAGTGGTTAAGGCTAAACAGGATTTCTGTCACTTTGAATGGCTTCGGTTTGATTTGATATTTTAATTATTTTCATTACCTGAATGCAGTTCAGCTGTAAAGCGTTTGTTGAGCTCTCTAGTCGTAAAAGAGTTGTGTTGTAGCCAGACAGCCTGAAGCAAAGCATCTGCCTCTGTGGACAGTCCTCCAAGTATACAGAGTTACTTTGCTTGATTCTCTCTGTGCTGAATTATTCTGTTTGTTCTGGGATTGATTTTCTTGTCCTCTCTAACTGAAAAAGCCCTCAAAGTGTTTTCTTTTGACACGATTTACTTGTAACGAGATGTGTTTTATGGTTTATAATTGATGCTTTTCTGAATATTGTTCCCTCTGTGAAACTGAGCTGTCTCAGTGCCTGACCAGTTAAATCACTTGTTTTCAGTCAAGCCAGAGACTGGTTTCTCATGAACACAGCCTCTCTCTTATTGGAGAAGATGCACCTTTCTCCATATCAGTCTAAACCAGTGGTTCTCAATTATTTTCTGTTGCGCCCCCCGTTTATGGAAAGAAAAAAGTAGCGCCGCCCCTCCAATTGAAATCAGTCCTCAGTGTTTCAGCGCTTTTCTCACCCAGCATGATCGTGGCCATGTCCAATTCTGCAGGGAGTATTAGCTCATCTGCTATTGTGTGAGGTTTTTTCCCTTTGCAATGAGGTAAGCAACTTTGTATGAGGCTAACTGGGCTTTTTTATTAACTGATGCAGCGTTCATAAAAGGACCAGACTGTTGGTGATACTCTTCAACTTTTCTTTTAAAAAAGTCCAGAGGATTGTTAATATAACTGGGGTGTAAGGTCTCCAGGTGCCACTTCAACTTGTTAGGTTTCATACTGTCGGCTGCCAAAGGTTTTAGGTGGAAATGTGTGTTCTGTGTTCACGGTAAATCCATGCGCTATGTTGGCTTCGTCATATTTTCTGGTCTTTTTTTGCCGGTTACTTTCACTCTTGCCTCTTGCGTCTCCGCCGATTTTCTTTTCACCATCATGAACTTCTCCATCTGTACTTCTCCATCAGCGCACTCACTCTGCACACTGGGGCACCCGTGTGTGTATGTTTGTGGTCGGTCTTCTTCTGCTGGGTTAAAAGGGCAGCTTATTGATTAGTTAGAGCGCTGCTGCCAATTAGCGACTGGGAGTGGTTTAGCATTCCATTTTGAACAAATTATGCTAAAAAAAAGAATTCTCCTGCATCTTGCGCCCTCCCAAATAACCACCTGCACCCCCCCAGGGGGCTAATTCTCACTAATTGAGAAATACTGGTCTAAACTCTAGATTACCATTTTTTTTTTTATATTTGTCCCATTTTTACTCTTGACTTTGGAGGTACTGTTGCATTAATGGATCTAGTTTTGACTTTTGCTGCTAAATCTGACAATGGACCTTAAATTTTGCATCTGAGGTTGAGCTAAGGATACAGATGGATATTGTATCCTGCATCTAATCTGTAGAAAAGGGAATTTATATTTGCTACATTTGGTTGTTTTTGCAAACTACAAACAAGACTAATGCATCGACTTCCTAGAGTCTCCTTTGGTTGCCTGGAAACAAGAATCCTGTACAAAGTCTATAGGCTTTCTGTGTTTACTGCTTCTAGTGATTATACAGAGCTGTACTTCTGCACCTTCAGGCTGCAGATCCACACACATCACAGCGTATTTATTCTCAATAGCTAAAACATATTTTGGTCTTAAACTATGGGTTTTAAAGTCTTGGTGGCAATCTTGAATCTGATTGACATCATAAATTGATCTGCTGTAGATGCATCCACTCAGCAACCTAAACTTTAGTATTTAAAAAACAATGTACACTGTCCAGCCAAAAAATAAAAAAAAAAATGCACCAAAAATGTCCAACTAATATTTCATTGGACCGCCTTTAGCTGTAATTACGACACACATTATTTCAATTAGCTTCTACAATGTCACCAGATTTATTTCCATCCAGTGTTGCATTAATGTTTCACCAAGATCTTGCATTGATGATGGTAGTCTGACCGCTGCACAAAGCCTACTCCAGCACATCCCAAAGATTATCAATGGGGTTAAGGTCTGGACTCTGTGGTGACCAATCCATGTGTGAAAATGATGTCTCATGCTCTCTGAACCACTCTTTCACTATTTGAGCCTGATGAATACATTGTCATTTTGGAATATGCCCGTGTCATCAGGGAAGATGGAACACACTGGTTATTCAGTATATTCAGGTAGTCAGCTGACCTCATTCTTGGAGCACATCCTGTTACTGAACCTAGACCTGACCACCTGCAGCAACCCCAGATCATGACACTGCCCCTACAGGCTTGTACAGTAGGTACTAGGCATGATGGGTGCATCACTTCATCTGCCTCTCTTCTTACCCTGATGCACCATCACTCTGGAACAGGGTCCAACTGGACTCATCAGACCAGTTTTTAATAATACATTTGACAGTTCTTAACCCAATTTTATTTATTCTACAGTCTCCTTAGATGTTTTCTCTGCTTGATGCATGCAAATGATCTGACTCTTCTCAAACAGACTAACATGTTTTCCACGACCACCAGATGTGTCTTTCCACGTGGTTGTTTAAGAAATGAGAAGCAACTCATTGCACAAGTTGGGCTTAAATAACTTGTTGCTAGCTGAAAGAAAATTGTCCATGCGGTAATTTTCCAATAGGAGGCTCCTACCTATTTACTTAGTTAAATCCAGGTGGCGACTTTTTTGGGGGGAGGTCAGGCAGTGTATTTACAGGTATGTGAGCTTAAGGGCATCATTGCTGGTTTACGGTTGGTTTCCCCATATTACTCTCAAAACAACTTTATTCTCATAATTTGTGTTTGAATCTTGAAATACACTCATTGTAAAGATGTTGCTAATTATGCTGACTCAGCCTGCACAACACCAAATTCTGGTTCAATGCAAGATAGCCTCAACATCTTAGAAAACACAAAGTGGATTTAACTCCATCAGGTTTGAGCTATTTTTGTGCTTTCTAAGCTGTGGTGCTCATCTTGCATTGCATCTTACCAAAAGGTAATCAGTTGTAAATGAGGCACCAGTTATTTGAGAGATTCTTTAAAAACCAGTTTGCTAAAACACACAGTAGGGAGGCTGCCCCTGCGACTCGGACACAGATAAGGAGAGGAAGGTGAGCTGAGGTGAGACACACGCACGAGCAGACGCGCGCGCGCGCGCACACACACAGCTTTCTTCCTTTCACAATTTTGGCTAATGAATGCAGAGGAAACTGACTTTTCCTCCTCTAAATGTTTTGCTATTCAGGTAACTCCAAGGTGGACCAGATTCCCTCTGCAACCTGCAATTTACCTTCTCCTTCTCCCTCCCGCTCTGTGACCACCCAGCCAGCCCCCAGGACTGATTTGCTTCCTCCCCCACTCACCGACACGTCACCTGCTGCTAGCAGTTCACTAACTGTAGGACCTCAGCCTGAAACTGAACTACCTGAACCCTCTCTGTCAAATGAAGGGGAGCCAATTGAAGCCTCAGAATTGAAGCACAAGCCTCCCAAAAACGACCTGCTGGAGATCGACCGCTTCACAATCTGTGGGAATCGAATCGACTGAACTGCAGCAGCGGCTGATGTAACAAGTGTCCACTCAGGAAAGACGGAGTAAAGGCTCACCGGCCGGGCCCTCCCAGCAGAAAGCTGAGTATTTATTAAAGTCTGTGACAATACAGTAAGTTCATATGAACACAGACTCACAGTGTCAGACGATTCTGCTGTTGTTGACACCTGAAGCTGAGAAGTTTGACAAAGAACACTTCAGGTGGCAGAAACAGAAGGAGACAGAGTGTGAGTGTGGCAGCAGAGTTGATAAGATGAGCTGCCAAGCGTGTGTGTGTGTGCGTGTGTGTGAGAGACAGCACAAGCACTTCATCTAAGAGCAGCTGTGGGACCAGTAGGAGAGAAGTTTTCAGCAGCCAGAAAACAAACTTCAAGCTTTAACATGAAATAAAATTCTAGAATTGTTTTAATTGCAAAGATATTTAAAACGGTTACAAATGTTTGAATTGTCTCTTAATAGAAAAGCAAAGAACTCTCGGTGACGGTAAGGAAGGTTTTGTTTATTTTTTAATGTTTTGATATGCGCATTTTTTGATTTTTGAAATTTTTTTACTTTTAAAATGACATTGTGTGTATTCAAGTAAACTGATAAACTAAAACGTGTGCACACATTTCAAAACTTGAGTTTTTTGAGGTTCAATCATTAATTGAAGCTTGAGCAACATTTGATGTTCTAAACATGACTCCTTTTAACTGATGACCTTAAGAAAAGCGGTTTGTTTACATAACTGTTAGTTTATCTGCTGGCTGCTCTGCTCCATCAGCAGTGTACTGATCTTTGAGGAAAGGTTCTGCTGACTGCAGGTCAGACGATAGACATCCTGTCAGCAGCTCACACAGCCAGATGTCCAGCACTGGAGAAAGAAAGATGATCAAGGCCAAACTGCATCCTCATTTCTCTCCTGGTTTTGGTACTTTTTTAATAAAACAAAGTATGTGAATAAAGGTATTTTTATCTTAAAATACATTTAGTTACTCAAACGGGGTACCACTGAGAGATGTTTGCGCTGAGATTACACTAGTGTTGCTTTGTCTGGGGACCGGTATGTAGGAACTCAGGCCTTCTGGTATGAATGTTTGAACTGACGGCCAAATTGGATTTAAATATGGTCATATTTCCCTAAGCCGATTATTTCTTGTGTACATCTTAGAACGCTGGAAGCAATATTCCCCTCAACAAAAGGCCGTCTTTGCAAACTGATGATTTTTGTGACCTTAAAACAATATTTGGATGAGTTTTCTTAGTGTGGTGATAAAAAAAGCATACATAAATACAGCAGACTGGACATCAGGTGTTGGTAACTGATTTAAAGAACTAGGTTAATTATTCCCTGTACTTTATTGTTATATTTCAAAACTACGTCAGGCAATTTAACGTGCATCAGTTGTGTTTTTCTGGCTGAAATGAATAACTTAATTCTTTGGTTCCTCCTTTCTTTACAAAGTTTGTTTGTTTTATCTAAACATTTAAATTGCTGTATTTTTAAAGACCTACCCGCTCATAAAACTGAGCACAATCACATCTGTCCTCATTTTATTGAATTATTATAAATGAAGATGGTAATAAGAAAAGGTAGTTAACATAATCTAGAAATATATTTAATATTGCTTTGGTAGAAAGGATGGGATTAACACTTCTGTGTTGGAGAGATTCCTTATAGGATGTGTAACCATTCCAGTAAGACATGAGATTTTTGACGTTTGATGGATATTGTTTTTATGCTTCTGTTGGATTTCCCCACTGATCAGAACTTGGATGTATTTAGTTTGGTCTCCAAGTGTCCAGTATAGAAGAGATCTGACCCACAGCTGAGTCCAGCTGGGAAGAAGAGAACTAGAGAACTCTGTTCACATGCCCGGTACACGGTACACTGCCTTTAGTTCATCAGTTTGATTTGGCTCCTATATTGATGACTGTTGCAAATAACATTTTGAAATAAATTGTTTTTTTCTAAAGTGTTTTGTTTTAGAGTAACTGAGCGCCGTAACACTTTGTTCGCAAGCTACACATCCTTCACTGTTAGAGGAATGTTATTTTTCCTTCAATAGTATTTCCTGCTCACACTCTTGACATTAGCTTTTTCATATAGTTGGCTGAGGAAATGGAAATATGTTTTTGCATTGGTCTGCAAGGCCACCGTCTTTACTAAGTTGTCAGTTATTTAAAAGACCTCTTGAGTAAAGTTGTCATTTTTTATAAAATGTTATAGATAGTTTATGATCTTGGGAAAAAAATGTTCAAAATCTGAAAAAGCTTTGTTCAACATCACAGATTTCTTCTTAAAAATAAGAAAGCTGCTTAGGATTTTTTCACAATAATGTATCAAGTATATAAATATACTCCAGAAATCTAAAAGTGGTAGAATATTTTTGTTTCATTTAGGAAGTGTGAAGCAGCATTTAAAAATACCTGGCTTTTGTTGAAACGGGAAGCTAAAATTAAATTTAAGAATGATTTGTGCTTGTGGGCAAAGTTCTACATCACCAGTGACCTCACCTTTTACCTGCACCATGTCTGTTAGGGAGCGCAGGTCAGGAGAAGTAAATCTGCAGCAGACATTCTTGGAGGGATAAGCTTCTTACTCCGCTGAGACTAGCTTCAGGCCTGTCACAGAGACCAGTGTTGGATAGAGACAGGAAGGCAGGTGAAGTAGTAGGTTATCTGGACAAAGTTCAGCACGACAGTCAAGGTTTGTTGGTAAATCTGACACAGTCTTAAGAAGGTTAATATAAACAGATAAAAGGAAATCCAAGAAAATGACAACATAAGCTGCTTCCAGTGGAGGAAGTTTTAATCTGTCATCCAGCTGCAGAAAATGTTAAAACTTGTTTTTTGGTTGTTGGTTTTTTCACCTCCACCTCTGCAGGTAAAATCAGTGTAGAGAAAGGTGCTCGCAAACGGGAACAGCCTGAGTCTCCGTGAACCAGGCTCTGTGTGCTCCATAGCGGGGACAATGAGGTTATTGTACGGGGATGAGCAGAGCTCCACCAATCACATCGCCCCTCCACAAGGTGTCCTCTTGTCTGTCAGCTGGGTGGAAAAGATGGGAAACAACACAGCATTTAAAGAGCAACATTATGACGGGGAGCATTGCGTCATTGATTGCAACGCATGCCAGGATGGTGGTCGCTGTGAAACTTTTTTCAAAAACCTTTATGAACAACTTTCAAACAAATAAAGCAATTACTTGAAATAAATTTTACTTCATTGCTGCTTTGTCGAAAACATTCAGAGCATCAACTAATTGTCCTAAAATTAACTAATTTCATTAAAAATACATATTTTCAGAAAAGGAACTTGAGCCTTTTCCCCTGCAGCAATGACTTGTGGGTAATACCCTTGCCCGAGGTCTGCAATGGGGGCGTGGTCAACTTCCGCACTAGAATTGGGAGGACATCCTACGCAGTCACACCCCTGGCCGAGAACGCGCAATTGAAGGGCACAAGGGTGCAAGTGCAGTATTGAGATTGGGCTTATGACATCAAGGCAAGGTTCCTTGGCATTGAGAAACACCGTCAGATTTGCTCCATGTACTTTAGACCCGATTTTTATGGCTATATGTTACAAAGCTGCCAATATTTTTGAACAACTGGGAATCATTTGGTTATTTTTCAAAAACATTCTGATGGATGTTTCCAGAGATTAATGGTAAAAACTACACACACACACACACACACACACATACAGGTCCTTCAAAAAAAATTGGCATATTCTGATAAAGTTCATTATTTTCTGTAATGTACTGATAAACTTTCATATATATTAGATTCATTACACACAACTGAAGTAGTTCAATCCTTTTATTGTTTCTAATATTGATGATTTTGGCATACAGCTCATGAAAACCCAAAATTCCTATTAAAAAATTTGCATTTTCCATCCGACCAATAAAAGAAAATTGTTTTTAATACAAAAAAAGTCAACCTTCAAATAAATATATTCAGTTATGCACTCAATACTTGGTCGGGAATCCTTTTGCAGAAATGACTGCTTCAGTGCGGCGTGGCATGGAGGCAATCAGCCTGTGGCACTGCTGAGGTGTTATGGAGGCCCAGGATGCTTTGATAGTGGCCTTAATCTCATCCAGAGTGTTGGGTCTTGCATCTCTCAATTTTCTCTTCACAATATCCCACAGATTCTCTAAGGTCAGGAGAGGTGGCAGGCCAATTGAGCACAGTAATACCATGGTCAGTAAACCAGTGGTTTGGGTTACCAGTGGTTTTGGCACTGTGAGCAGGCGCCAGGTCGAGCTGAAAAATGAAATCTTCATCTCCATAAAGCTTTTCAGCAGATGGAAGCATGAAGTGCTCCAAAATCTCCTGATAGCTAGCTGCATTGACCCTGCCCTTGATAAAACACAGTGGACCAACACCAGCAGCTGACATGCTACCCCAGACCATCACTGACTGTGGACAGTGGACTTCAGGCATTTTGGCATTTCCCTCTGCCCAGTCTTCCTCCAGACACTGGCACCTTGATTTCTGAATGACATGCAAAGTTAGCTTTCATCCGAAAAAGTACTTTGGACCACTGAGTCCATTGCTGCTTCTCTGTAGCCCAGGTCAGGCGCTTCTGCTGCTGTTTCTGGTTCAAAAGTGGCTTGACCTGGGGAGTGCGGCACCTGTAGCTGTCACAATCTGCCCCTGCCTTCCTGACTGTGTTCCTCTCCTGCCCTGATTAGTTGTTTATTGGTTTCACCTGCCCTTGTTAACATGCCCAGGTGTTCCTGATTTTCCCCAGTGTATTTATACCTACTGTCTCCTATGTCCTGTGTCAGATCATTGTTGTTTGTAGTCACCGTTGTGTTTGTTCCTGCCGTTCCCGTTCTGTAATTAAAATTCGTTTTTACTTAAAAAAAAAGAAAATCAGGAACACCTGGGCGTGTTAACAAGGGCAGGTGAAACCAATACACAACTAATCAGGGCAGGAGAAGAACACAGTCAGGAAGGCTGGGGCAGATCGTGACAGTAACCCATTTCCTGCACAGGCCTGTACAAGGTGGCTCTGGATGTTTCTACTCCAGACTCAGTCCACTGCTTCCGCAGGTCCCCCAAGGTCTGGAATCGGTCCTTCTCCACAATCGTCCTCAGGGTCCCGTCACCTCTTCTCGTTGTGCAGCGTTTTCTGCCACACCTTTTCCTTCCCACAGACTTCCCACTGAGGTGCCTTGATACAGCACTCTGGGAACAGCCTATTCTTTATGTGTCTTACCTTCTTGCTTGAGGGTGTCAATGATGGCCTTCTGGACAGCAGTCAGGTCGGCAGTCTTACCCATGATTGCGGTTTTGAGTAATGAACCAGGGTGGGAGTTTTTAAAAGCCTCAGGAATCTTTTGCAGGTGTTTAGAGTTAATTAGTTGATTCAGATGATTAGGTTAATAGAGAACCTTTTCATGATATGCTCATTTTTTGAGATAGGAATTTTGGGTTTTCATGAGCTGTATGCCAAAATCATCAATATTAGAAACAATAAGAGGCTTGTACTACTTCAGTTGCGTGTAATTAATCTAATATATATGAAAGTCTGTTTATCAGTACATTACAGAAATAATTAACTATCACAAGGTGCTATTTTTTGAGAAGGACCTATATATATATATATATATATATATATATATATATATATATATATGACGAGATGTTTTCTCTTACTAAATATTTTTTGAAAAGCTTCATTGCATATTAATGCTATCAACTTGAATTAATTGAAATTATTAAAGGTAACAGCAGACGTATTTGAAATTTCAAGTTCATTAACTTATTTAACGTTTCTTGATAAAAAGCATCTAGTAAAGTTAAAGCTGTTTTAATCCAAATTATGATCTGTCTCTAACTTACTGCCACATTTTAATATACATCTCTTGGGCTGTTACGTCATGCATTTAAAAATGGAATAAACGTCCACAAAGCAGTGGAATGACGATTAACAACAAATGTATAAAAATTGGATTAAAAACCTGTCAATGATGAGGTTAGTGCATTTCCGTTTAACTTATGGCCCTGACTTCATCCCCGGCAGGAGGAGCGCTTCTCTCACCAGGCGGGACGTCGGTGCGCACCCCGCCCGCTCCGTGACGCAGCGCCTCTCGGTGTGCACTGATGTTGGACTGGAAGCGACAGGCGCGCTCATCTCTGTGGGACTGATTGCACTGGAGACGGAGCAAATCATTCGGTTTGCGTCCGTCAATGAGCTTAGACTAATTAGGGGAAGGATGCTCAGATCGATTCGGTCTTCGGGCAGCTGCACTTAGACAGCTGTGGTCCATCCACCGAAACACTTCATCTCTCTCCTCACCACCCCATCTCTCTCCTCCCTGAAGATAAGAAACAGGAGTCCAGTCACTTACCTCAGTCTTTCAGCATCTAGTCGCAGTTTAGGGTTTTATCGCGATGTGGACGTGTATGGCTCTGCTGCTGCTGTCTGTGATCTCAGCGTCCGGTGAACTCCAACAAGAAGACACGGAGCCCCGGAGACTCCCACCACCGGGAAAGTTGGATTTCGGCTATGTGCCTGCGGGAGTTTACGAGACATTGGCCCATTACGAACCGGGACCCATCGGGATTCTGTTCCACTTGGTGCACGCGTTTTTGCACGCGGTGCAACCCAACGCGTTCCCACATGGTAAGTCATGGTGTTCGTTCGACCAGACCTACACACGGCTGCATGAAACCACTGCGGCAGGAACAGAAGGAAAGGAACATTTTACAAGAGTTTTACTGTCTTTGTGAATTATTTATGAAACTGTTTTATTGCTCTCAGGCTGATCTTTGTCCAGATCATGAAAAATAAAAGATCAGATATATTTTTCTAGCATAAATGACTGAATCAACCTGGGTGAGTCAGTCCTTCTTGGCACACTTTAGCCTACTTGCTGACTTGTCTTGTCATGTGTGCGTCATGTCCATCCACGCAGCGCGCGTCTCTTTGTGCGCGCACTGGAAGGCGGTGTTTATGCCTGCAGCGCACTTCTTGTCAGGATGAATACTATGAAAGCGCTTCTTGTAGATGGCATCAGGTGGTCCAAAGCAAGCCTGCTCATTATTGTGGGGGCTTATTGCTCTGGAACGCTCTACTGTGTCAGAATAACAACTTTCAAAGCTGACTGATTAGTGCTGGTTTGGGTTTAATTGAGGAGTGGGTTCTGATAAGATGTGTGCCCCCTCTAATGTAGTCTGTGTTCTTACTCCATTGGAACAGTTTGCAGATTAGTAGCTCTAGAGCCACCTTGCTAATTGAGTAATCCCATAAGCCTCTGCGCCATATGCTGTTGGCCTTGTAGTTTAGCTCTCCAGGGGTCTCATGGAGCAGACAGACCTCAGCTGAATGGAGTTTGATTCATTCATGACTGCAGCCATTAAAGCATGCAGGACATGTGGAGGCTGATCATAAACACTTCTGCAGCCAGGGTGCTAAGCTCCATCACAGACCTCCAAGGCTCATCAGAGTTTGAGGCAAGAATATTCTTGTGTGGTGAAGCTGGTTTCCTGAAAATCACCCGGAAATCCACAGCTCCTCATGACCTTAACACATCTGTGTGGTGTGTTAGAGCATGGGGCTGAAAGTCTGATGAAGGTGCTCTGCTCACTTTGGTGGCTTATGTGAGATGTCCGTAAGATGTGTAAAGCTTCAAGATTGTTGTATTGTCATTGAACAGGTGTAACACAAAATTGCCTTTGCACTTGCTTAAAGACAGCTCTCATAAAGAGGTAGTGAGACATAAATCAATAACAAGACTACATAGATGGCAGCTGTGTAAAGTGCTGTAGTGCACCAATCGTCCTGCAGAATCACTGCTTGTGTGTCCTAGCAGCAACACTCTGATCAGTGGTGGCTCTTGCATAAAAGCTGCAGCCTGCTGTGTGGTTTTATTGCCCTGCTCAGAAGTTTTGGTTTTTCATCGTTTGATTTCTGTTGATATTTTTCTTGTGCGAGAGGTTCGAACCAACCAACCTTGACATCTTTGTACCTTTGGAAGAACAAAACTTTCACATAGCTTAATATAGTTGCCTTGATCCATATTCACCATACTCTATTTATAGACTATTTAGTTTTTTCATTAATATAAATTTTTCATAATTTTCTCTGGATTTTTGTTTACCATTTTCAGATGAATGTTTTTGTGGTTATTTCTGTTTTTAAGACACTTGACTCTGATCTATTGAAGCGTAAAAAGGCTCTGGGGATGAAACAGTGTTGTGTCAAATCAACACACGACTTTGGATAGGATCTTGTTAAACGGGCATATTTTGTTCCTGTTGATCTACAACACATATGTCAGAGTCAAGGCCCGCGGGCCGCATCTGGCCCGCGGAGCATTTTTATGTGGCCCGCGAGATAAATATAAAAAATATATTAAAACTGGCCCGCTGGCCGATTTTACCGCAAAGACTTCAACTCCCATGATGCTTTGCGGCGTCAGCGCGGAGCCGACGAAGCCCCCTCCTTTGTGTTTTTCCAGCTCCTGCTGCCGGTGTCTGCAGCTCCGCTGTCTCGGACAAACTAAACACTCCTCTCACTCAGCGCCGAGTTCACTCAGCTATTTTCTGACGTTGAAGCCCAGAAACGGAGATTCTAGCTGCTCAGTAATGTGTTCACGACTTAAAGAGGAAGTTTTCCAACTAACTTCCAGACAGAGCTGATATAACTCCAGCGAACAGCAACACGCTCAAACCAGCATGGCTCTGTGGTTGTGTTTCCTCCCCGACACACAACAACATGGTCAAGCTGCTCAGACATGTTCAGCAGCACAAACCTATGTGAGCACCTGTTGTCATCTAATGTTGTCATTATTATGATGAAGATGAACAAAACAACAGGAGTCTCCTCCTCAGCTCAGATAAACCCATGATTCAGGTATCTGGCTGGAACAGGTGAGCATCACAGTAAACCAGTGGAGCAAACTGAGCTTTAAATATGTTGGTTTTATGCTCTTTTTCTGCTCCAAAACATGAAAGTTAACAGGTGAGATGTTGCATTTTCATTTAAGATAAAATGATATTTTTATTTTGTTGTTGGCCCGTGAGAAAAGATTTAACCTACAGTAAACAGGAAGTGGAAAGGCTGCAGATAGATGAATAGAATAGAAAATCCCTTTATTGTTCCTCAGTGGGGAAAGCTAGATGTCACAGCAGCGATGACACTTATTACAGGAGAAAAAAAGGAGAATAAGAAATAAGAAAAATTAATAAACAAGAAAACATAAATCCTGAATAGATTTTAAAAATGCTGAATATACCACAAGTAATGAATACCACTGATGCCTTTTATTTCAAACGGACTTGCTCGTGTGTAATTTGGTTATTCCACATTCAGTGTTAATGCAGAAATAAGTTTGTTTCCAAATTTAAAGGTACAAAATTGCATATATGTTGATAAAGAAAATGTGCAAATTTGCCGTCACTTTTTCAAAAATATTAAGTTTGGCCCTCGACTCCGTCCCAGAGTTTCATTTCGGCCCCTTGTGAGTTTGAGTTTGACACCCCTGATCTACAAAGACCAAGTATGGATAGCATAAAAGTCAAACTTTAGCACGCACGTTGATTCTTAATGAGCTATTTGATGAAAAATATACAGTAGCTTCCTAACACTTCTAACTTTGTCCATTACTACTCCATGTTGCTCTATCTAAACACAAAATAGACATTATAGAGAAGGACATTATGTTAAAAAACAGCCAAAGAAAGCAGGGAAACTCCCAAAAAGCCTAGAGAAATGTTGATGAAGACCACTTTAACCCTAACCAGCCACCATCCCCATTGTCTTGTTGATATTTAAACACTGAATAGACTGTAATCACAGAGATTTAACGAGAAGAACTAGCTGCGTGTTTTATTTAAATGCAACTTCATTAACTCCAACCAACAGCTTCCAAGTACTTGCATGATTTTTCTAGCTATTTTTTGCAGTGACCAGTGTGCTGCTTTCTTTGATAAATGATGGTTAAAATCCAGTTTTTGGAGCTTTTGACACTGTTATATTGTTATCTCCTCATGAAAAACATCCCCAAAGTGGGTTTTGTCTTCACACGCATTGCACTGTCTCGGTCAAAGCTTTTCTTTAGTTCTGCTAAGCTATAGCAAACGGCTGGATAGGGCTGGTTTGCGTAATTATACACCGATCCACTCCTCTCCTCTCCACTCCTCTCCTCTCCTCTCCTCTCCTCTCCATCCAGGTGAATCCAGAATCCTCTGTTCCTGGGCCTTCATTCATCAAACGTTAGCAGAAACCGTCCTATATTCCTTCCTATGAACAACATTTTTAATGTTCGTACAAAGGGTCAAAGTCCTGATTTATGAAACGTGTTAGACTCCCGTTTGCATGTTCCTCCAGTATGATGATAAATCCCACCTGTGTGTACCCAGTGCTCATGTTCATTCACCATCATTTACATACAGAAACACCCTCAATTAGCCATATTTGGTCATGCTACATCCTCAACACGTGAGAGAATTCCCTGGGTTTTTTCCTGAAACAAAGAAAACTTTATTGTCAATGGGTTGTCGTTTACATTTTACATTTAAGGAGTCATTCTGTTTGGAATTAGTTTTATTTGGAAATGTTGTCCAAGAATGCAGCCTCTTCTGAGCTGTCATTCAGTCTGGTTTCCGTGACAACGCATGTATGATGGGGAGCAGAGGAGGTTCTGGGGGGTTCTTGTAGTTGTGAAATAAAATATGAATTGGAATTGGATTTGTGCGGTTTGTTTGTCACTCCACAAAGGATCCCAAATCACAGCATAACTCCGGAAAGATCTTCTTCAGGAATCAGATCAGTGCACTCACGGAGGACGTGTTTCCTACAGAGATCACTCTCTGCCAAATCCTCCAATAATAATAATAATAAGAAGAAACAATTTTTTACATAGCACATCTCAAGCAAAAACATAAGGCTTCACAAGCACAATATTTTAATTAAATGAAAATTGTATTAATAGATGAATTAAAAATGATTCAAACATAAATTAAAGGCAAGAGTTTAAATTGTGATTACAAAATAACTCACCATCAGCCTTTCCACAATGAACGATTCCTTCAGTCACAGGTGTTCTACTACCAATTATGTGACAGCTGCTTTTCCACTGCTATTATTGTTTATTGGGTAAAATTATTTGTGGATGAGGAACATGCATGGACAACTGAGACCTTCGGTGTTGCGGTTCTACCACTAGATGCTGTTCATCCGCATGGTCTGAGGTTTTCTTATATTTAGGAACATTTCCATGCACACGTACAAAATAATGAATCCCACACAATGCATATGTTAATACCTACGCTCAAAACACACAGATCTGTGCTTAAGTACGGTTGATAAATGAGGCCCCTGGACTGTAAACACTAACACTCACTCTATCCATGTAGCTATGGGGAGTTTAATCTCCACAGACCAAGTGCCCTCCTCTGTGTGATGTAAGTTTAAGTAGATGCAGACCAGGGGTGTGTCCAGGGAGTGACCTGGGGTAGCACATGCCACCCTTGGAATCTGATTGGCAGAGGTATGACCAAGTCACTGCTCTGCAAGTCACAAATAAGTCACAAGTCTTTCCAGTCAAGTCTCGAGTCAAGTCCAAGTCAAAGACAATCAAGTCCAAGTTGAGTCCAAAGTCAATGATGTGGAAGTCCAAG